CCCAATCCTTCTCCTTCCCCCCTCCCCCCCCCACCCTAATGGGATTATCTTTTGGGCAGGGACTTTAAAAACTAGCATCACTTCCCAGAGTAAACTAAGTTATTTATTTCTCCAAAAAGAGCCGTAAACTTAGTTCTTATACAGTGAAGTCAGAGCAGGTTCAACCTACCCTGCTAGAAGTTATCACTGATGTGGCGTGTGTACTATCAGTATTTGTGGAGTGGTATCATGAATGTGGTATGTGTGCTATTGGTACTTCTGGCATGGTATCACAGATGTGGTTTGTGCACTATGGTACTTCTGGCATGGTATCATGGATGTGGCACGTGCACTTTGGTACTTCTGTAGTGGTGTCACGGATGTTGCATGTGTGCTATGGTACTTCTGACATAGTACCACAGATGTGGTATGTGCACTTTGGTACTTCTGGTGTGGTATCATAGATGTGTACATGCGCTATGGTACTTCTGGTGTGTTATCATGGATGTGGTATGTGTGCTGTGGTACTTCTGGTGTGGTATCATAGATGTGGTACGTGCACTATGGTACTCCTGGCGTGGTATGTGCACTTTGGTACTTCTGGCGTGGTATCATGGATGTGGCATGTGGGCTATGGTACTTCTGGCATGGTATCATGGATGTGGCACATGCACTATGCTACTTCTGGAGTGGTGGCACGGGTATGGAATGTACACTATGGTACTTCTGGAGTGGTGACATGGATATGGTCTGTGTGCTATTGGTACTTCTGGAGTGGTATCACGGATGTGGCACTTGGCACTATGGTACTTCTGGAGTGGTATCACGGATGTGGCACTTGGCACTATGGTACTTCTGGAGTGGTATCACGGATGTGGTACGTGCACTATGGTACTTCTGGAGTGGTATCACGGATGTGGTACGTGCACTATGGTACTTCTGGAGTGGTATCATGGATGTGGTACGTGCGCTAAGGTACTTCTGGAGTGGTATCACGGATGTGGCACATGCACTATGGTACTTCTGGAGTGGTATCACGGATGTGGCACGTGCACTATGGTACTTCTGGAGTGGTATCACGGATGTGGCACGTGCACTATGGTACTTCTGGAGTGGTATCATGGATGTGGCACGTGCACTATGGTACTTCTGGAGTGGTATCATGGATGTGGTACATGTGCTATGGTACTTCTGGAGTGGTATCACAGATGTGGTGGTACGTGCACTATGGTACCTTTGGAATGGTGTCACGGATGTGGTACATGCACTATGGTACTTCTGGCATGGTATCATGGATGTGGTATGTGTGCTGTGATACTTTTGGCGTGTTATCATGGATGTGGTACGTGTGCTATGGTACTTCTGGAGTGGTGGCATGGATATGGTGGATATGGATATGGATATGCTATTGGTACTTCTGGCATGGTGGCATGGATGTGGTATGTGCGCTATGGTACTTCTGGAGTAGTATCACAGATGTGGCATGTGTGCTATGGTACTTCTGGAGTGGAGGCACGTGTGCTATCAGTACTTCTGGCGTGGCGTCTCTTGTTGGTGACTATAGGACAGAGCACCATGTCACATTTAATTGGAATGGAACAGGAAGTGCACTCTGATTTCTGTGTTGAGGAGGTTAACTGGAGTTGAAAGGCCTTCACTTGTCTGAACCCCAGAACCCAAGCTCCATCCATGCTGCCACTGAGACTTTAGAAACCTTCAAGTGAGGGAAAATACACTCTGTCCTGGGCTGAGATGTTCTCTTACTGGCACAGAGCCTTGCAAAGTGACCCAAACGGCTTTTCTGTACCCTTCATGTATTTTGGGACACAGCTGCTGTTCCCATTTTAGTTTTCCTTTTCTTATCTTCTCACTTCCTCCTCCCCCCTGCCCCGCAACTTGACCATCGGAAACTGTGGCCCTAATTCCACTGAGGACTTTTACTAGTGTTGTTCTTGGAACTGGGAAGTGTGAAAAAGCATGTGTCTTCACTTAGTGACTCTTGAAAACTTCTGTTGAATGAACTCATGGGTTGTTTGGTGGTTGGACTTGGAAGCATTCTGAATAGTTACTTTGGAATTTCATGAATCCGGAAAACAGAGCTTCTGCCACCAGTGGAAGTGTGGGAGAATGACTTGTGTGCTTGTGAGTCACACTTCATCAGCACTAACATGAACTTTCCTTTCCTTTTAGCAGCTTTGCCTCCCGTCTGTTACAGCCCCAGCAGTCCTGGGCAGACCCAACAGGACTCACACCACTTTTATCCAGACTTCCACCTCTATTTTGGGAGACGTAAAGCATCTTCTTTGACAGTAGAGGCAAAGACTAGCATCAGGAAGAAAGTTGGTAAGTCCTACTGCTGTCATTGGTATTGGGACCAGAAAGGCCCTCTTTCTCATTTTTAGCCCTTATCTTTGTCTGCATTTTCCATAGCTTTCAATTACATGAGGTTCACTGAAGTCTGCAAATGTTACATGAAAAATATTAAATGAAAAATACCAGAAATCACCAATTTATATATTTCAGATAGCCTTATTGCATATGTTTTATTTTACTAGTAGTTTAAAATTTCTTTGTGTGCATAATCTATAAATTACACTTCATCCTATGTGTATACAGGAAAACAAAGATTTGGTACTTGAGGTCTTGGAGTATATCTTCCAAGCATCAGCAGGGACTACTGCAGTGCATATCTCCCCTTACTTCCTATCCTCCTGTTACAAATAAACATGTGAGAGTATTGGTTTCGTTTTTGGCAAGTGCTTTATTTATAATCATGTCCTATGATGTAAGAACTTCAGAGTTATATCACTTAGTCTCTTTTTCCTACTGTTTCTCAGAATCTTACACACTTCTTTTCTTTTTTTCTCTTTTTTTTGCAAGTAATAAATTCAGAAGATATAATTAAAAACTAGTATAGAAGGAACCATCTCCTTTGTAATAACTGCCTATCTATGAAGGCTTTTGAGACTGGTAAAACAATAAGAGAATTAAAAAAATTGGGTAGGAACTTAGGGTTCTTGACAAATGTACTTACAACTTATCTTTCTCCAGTGAAAAAGTAGTTCAATAGCTTTAATTTTTAATTTTTTTTTTTTTTGGGTCCGATCATGGGGCCTGAACTCTGGGCCTGGGCGCTGTCCCTCAGCTCTTCAGCTCAAGGCTAGCATTCTACCACTTGAGCCACAGCGCCACCTCCGGCTTTTTTCTTTTTTCTTATGTGGTACTGAGGAATCGAACCCAGGGCCTCAGGCATGCAAGGCAAGCGCTCTACCACTGAGCCACCTTCCCAGCCCCTAACTTTTAATTTTTTTATCCACATTATTTTCTATGAGAATTGCATTTTTATCTTAGCTTATTTATTTCTTATTTGAATTTTAGTAAGAGTTTCCATTCATTCAGATCTGTTACCCAAGGGTATATGCTCTTTCCCCTTTAGTCTCATACTTCCAACATCTACCAGCATACAAAAGATTGAAGACATTTTTGCTAAGTGAATGAGTGGACCATTCTAACCCACCTTGATCTCTTTTCCTAGGATATTCATTGTTTATTACAATTATCTGGCAAATTCATCTTACGTGAACTTTTGACAATCTTTTTTTTTGTCGGTTGTGGGGCTTGAAATCTGGGCTTGGGCGCTGTCCCTCAACTCTTCAGCTCAAGGCGAACGCTCTACCACTTGACCTACAGTGCCACCTCCAGTTTTCTGGTGGTTAATTGGAGATAAGAGTCTCATGGACTTTCCTGCCCTGGCTGGCTTTGAACCGTATTCCTCAGATCTCAGCCTCCTGAGTAGCTAGGATTACAGGTGTGAGCCACTGGCTCCTGCCTTGACAATCTATTTTTATTGTTGGACTTTTGCATTTACATTCAATTATAGCTTGCATTCTTTAATGCTAAGGGATAAGTTTGACGACATTCTTGTGAGGCAGATATTTAATCTCCCTATTTTTCAAAGGAGAGATGCAGAAAAGCCAAATAATTTGCCTGAGATCATAGCAGTAAGTTTTGTTGTTGTTTTTCTTTTGTTTTGTTTGTTTTTTTGCCAGGAGTCAGGGCAAATCTAATGATCAAAGCTCAGTTTTAGTGTCCAGTCTATAAAATTGGGGTTTAGACTTGGGGCCTTGTGCTTCATACATAGATGTACTATTGTGGAGTCATTCCTCCAGCCCTATAGAATTCCTTAATTTCTTCTGCAGTCATCTCCTAAATATCCCTGTGTGTAGGTCAGTGAGAGCCAGACGCTGTTCTTGGGTTTTGTTACTAATCAGAGCATTTGAGATTTTGGTTGTATAGGTTGCTTAGTGAAGACAAGGAAAGGGAGATGAAGGGTAACAATGAAAAGTCTATGGTAGAGCCAATAGAAGTGTGTGTGTGTGTGTGTGTGTGTGTGTGTGTGTGTGTGTGTGTGTATTGGTTTGGGCTTTAAAAATTGTTATTTTTTAAGATGGGAAAGAGTTGGATATGTTTTCCTGGTGAAGAAGAGAGACAGGTGGAGAAGTTAAAGGAAAGAGGGAGGGTTTGAAGGATACAAAAGTTCAGGAGTAGTGGGTACAAAGAGAGGGAATCAAAAGTCGGGAGGTGGGGGGAAAAGGGGACGTGCTGGGAGTTAGAGAAATAGGTCCGTGAGATATCAGAGGGGAGATGAAACTGATGGTATAGTTGACATTTGTCTTTAAATGCTACTGTAATTAAAATGTTTATTGTTCACCACACAGAGACACGTTTCCTGGGGAATGGCCTGATGTGTCTTTTCCTGTGTTTATCCTTTAGTTGAAGATCCTCTTTGAAACTTCCTGAGGATCTCAGAGGTGGAAATGAGAGGTTCGGAGGATGTGGCTGCTGGAACAGTGTTACAGCGGCTGATCCAGGAACAACTGCGCTATGGCACCCCTACCGAGAACATGAATTTGCTGGCCATTCAGCACCAAGCCACAGGGAGTGCAGGACCTCCTCACGCAGCAAGCAGCTTTTCTTCCACGGAAACCCTCATTCAAGAAGAGCCACAAATGGTCTACCCGTCAGCGCGCCAGGAGCCTCAGGGTCAAGAACGCCAGGTGGACAGTGCGGCGATGGAGAGGCAGGTCCGGCCCACACAGCCTCAGCAGAACAATGAGGAGCTGCCCACGTACGAGGAGGCCAAAGCCCAGTCCCAGTTTTTCAGAGGGCAGCAGCAGACACAGCAGCAGCAAACACAGCAGCAGCAGCAGCAGACACCCGTGGGCCACGGCTACTACATGGCGGGGGGCACCAGCCAGAAGTCGCGCACAGAGGGAAGGCCCACAGTGAACCGCGCCCACGGCGGACACGCACATAAGGACGACGCCTTGAAGGAGCTGAAGCAGGGCCATGTCCGCTCGCTCAGCGAGAGGATCATGCAGCTCTCACTGGAGAGGAATGGTGCCAAGCAGCACCTCCCTGGATCGGGGAATGGAAAGGGGTTCAAAGCCGGAGGGGGACCGAACCCAGCCCCGCCTGCTAGTAAAGCCCTGGACCCGCGCGGCCCTCCACCCGATTACCCCTTCAAGACCAAGCCCATGGTGTCTCCCGTCAACAAGAACCAGGATCACGGACTTTTCTACAACGACCAGCACCCTGGGGTGCTCCATGAGATGGTGACACCGTACCCTGCCCCTCAGCCTGTGAGAACAGAAGTGGCCGTCCTGAGGTACCAGCCGCCTCCGGAGTACGGTGTCACCAGCCGCCCGTGCCAGCTTCCCTTCCCTTCAACAGTGCAGCAGCACAGCCCCATGTCCTCCCAGACCTCCGTCAGCGGGC